GGCACAGACTATTTAAGCCTTCCCCATGTGGAATACTAGAAAACCTGAATACTACAGTCATGTAACAGTCTGCGTTAATGGCAGATTTTGCACACTACGTTTGTGTTGCTGCTTCATTGTATACTGATAGGGATTCACTGCAGCTCCCGGCTTCTTTATCTGGGGTCCCATAGCTGCTTTAAATTGAAAATATAATTAATTAGATATCAATTGCAATGTGCATTAATACTCCTCAGCAGATCAGAGTCATTTATTCACAGTCACCTCCAAAAGTACTGGAACAGGAAGACAAATTCATTTGTTTTTGTTGTTCACTAAAGACATTTGGGTTTAAGATTAAAAGATGAGTAGGAGATGAAAAAAGTGTTATTTTGATTAGTCAATAAATGAAAAAATGTAATCAAAAGAATAGAAAATAATAGGCAACACATTTCTATCACACTGCTTAAGAGTCACTGATAAAAAAATCACTGACATCTGTCAATATAAAAATACATACAAAAAGAAAAGATGATAAATTGAACCATTTGAAACATCATTTCTGCTCCATCATTAGCTTGAGATTTGTTAACATCACGTAGAGCTCTCTCACTCTTAGTTGCACACTGATGTATATTTGGTGAGTGTGGGGTCTTTACACTGACTGAAGCCAAAGCTGTACAGGACTTCTCCTGAAAGTATTTACAGTTAGTCTGGAAAGATTGGCTGGCTGTCAACAGTACTACACTAGAGCATACATGTACCCTTAAAAATGCCTGCAGGTTGGTCAACAACTGTGTAGCAGCGCAGACGCACTTTTCAAACCCCACGCTGGTTGAGGAGAGGGACGGACACGCATATCACATGTTTCAACATGATAATCAAAGCTTCCACGTGTTCACATAGATCAGCAGTTGTATAGTTGACAGCCCGTCTAGTGAGGGGTGTTGAAACTTTCTCACTTTTTGGATTCGGGTGTCGTACTCCAGCAGGGTGAAGCCGGGTCACTGCTGTCTCCATGTGAGTAGGGGATTCATGTTTCTCAACAACGTTTTGTTTCACTGAGCACAAGGATCCCACGTTAATGCTAATGTAATTGTGTACAAAGTTTAAATGAGAGCGTGGGCGATGTCAAACAGCCTCTTCAGTTAGCTCCCCAGGGTTGAGGGAGATCATTTTTGTTGTGCTGTCTCACTCTTCCTATGTCTGTTCTCTTTGCTCAGCTGTTTTCGAGTGCATCGGCTCAATATAGCAAGACATAATTGCATGTCCTCCGCCCGACACTCCATATAAGAGTACTTTGTAAATGAGTTCTTCCCAGTGCATTTCTCCTTCCCTATCACTCTTGGCCTCTCTATCACCCAGCATCTCACTGATGTTTTAGTTCCATTGTTTCAAGTTTTTGTGGGGACACAATGAATCCATTATTTGAGCCTTTTTCTTGGTGTGCCATCTATCAGCTGCTCTTTTCCGATAAGAGGTCTAAATTTAGTGGGTTTCAGGCTGAGTGGAGTCTAAATATGGGTGTCAATCTAACTGAATTGGGAGCTCGAACACAATGATAGTTATTTCTTGGCTTCCTGTGGAGCGAGTCTCCCCAGCCTCCCCCCTTCAGACAGGAGGTGAAATTGAGGGTCAATCATAGGAGGAGCTGTCAATCACTGGCCTATTGTTGTGCACAGAGGAGGTAATATGCTGTAAGCCTTCACAGTGGGAAATGCTCCAGCAGCAGGCTTAATACACTTGACATACACACATGCTCCCACTAATTCCACAGGAATGTATTGGGCAGTTGGACTAGGATTTTTTTTTTAACACAACTTATTTCTTGTTTCAGCAACTGAAATTGATTTTGATTTTAGCTCTTGCAAAAAAAAAAAAAAAGATTAGTTTCCATTAATGTATTTTTTGTGCTAAAAGGAGATTGATATGTTAAATAAAACTGTACTGCCGAACTATAATTGTGAACAGATTGGGATTTGATCATTTTAAATTTTAGGGTTCTTAAACCCACTGGCTTCTTACGTCATTTTAAACCACAGCATCTGTCACATCTAATTGAGAATTTGACTTTAGAACATTTTTACGACTCGAACCAAATCAATTCAGTTGTAAATTATTTTTTAAACATGACTTTAATTAACCACAGTAGTGTCATCCAGGCATGATAATGAGCCTGAGAGCTGCACAGTGTCATGTGATATGTGGTCAGTACATAAATAATGTGTGCGTGTAGCCTCAATCATGCCAGCAGTTTCTCATGGCTGAGTGACTGCTGGCGCTGAATCACTGCAGCAGCCGCTGCTGCTACTGCTGCTAAAACAAACATCAGTGTCTGACCAGCAACTCAACTGGATCGCTGGGAATAGAAACATAGATTTGTTTGAATTCTTTTTATTTATTTATTTATTTTTGTTTACTCCTCCTTTTCAAATGGCTCTTACAACGGGAAGCAGTTTTCTTTTACTCTTGACAGTGCTTTGTGAGATGTTTTTGGTTTTTTTTTTTTTTTTTTTTTTTACTACTGCATCATGCCAGCAATCCACCACCAGATGTTAAATGTGGATCAAGACAAGGAATGTAACTCTGGGAAACTTCTGAATATTCCATTGGGTGGACTGGAATGTCAACAGAGTTCTAAAGAAGAGGCTCTCAAATACATGGGTCTAAGTAGGATTTTTGTAGTAATACCATTGATTTCATTGTTACTGATATATTCTGACCTGTTTATTATAGACGGACAGCAAATTAGCTTTTTTTTTTTTCAGAAAAAAGTCATTATGTAGTCATTTTTAGTCGTGGGTTATATTCTTCAACAAAAATGTAAGTTTTGTAAGACACTTTGATATTCATATATAGACAGAAAGGCAAACTTTGATATTCATATATAGACAGAAAGACTGAGAGAATGGGTTAATGTTTCAACAAATCAGAAACTGACATCCATCAAACACTCTTTGTGAGAGGGAAAGTAAGACTGAAGACACACAAAACATTCTGGGAAGTTTCTTGATGTGGTTCAGATGATAACAGGTGGAGAGATTGGGTATTATACATGCATGGAGAGGTGCAAGAGACTTTCCTGTCTATTTAAACGTTCCTCAGTGAGAGACGGTAAAGAATTAAGGCCTGTCATGAGCCACAGGTAATAATATGGTAAAATGAGTAGGGGTGTCAAGGAAAATGTCCTCGCAGGTCATGGGAAGAAACCACGGCTGAATGTAGCAGTGCATTAGAAATGTGATTTGTAGATTTAGACCCTATTTATGTTTCACGTGTGTACTTTGAATAATTTGACATTGTAAAATATGATACTGACACTTGTGATCGTGTATACCGAAGAGAAGTATCAATTATCAATTTAAAGGGAAGAGGCAACTGTAACGTGTGAGACTGAGACGAAGCTTTTCACTCCTATATCCCCGTCCTAATTTCCACTT